CTTCTTTTTCTTAATTGCTGTTTGATTTTTTTTACAGATTGGGCCAACATTTGGGCCATAATAGAAGTTGATTGGGAGGTGTTGAATTGAAATGAGGTGCTGGATTGAATTTGGGCCACTATTTTAACATCAAGCTGCTGCAGGTGAAATTGAAGGCAACGCTGGCCTGCTACAATGGTGCTGCAATTGGAAGACTACTGCTGATTGGATAATTGGGCTGCCAATGCTGGTATGGGCTTAAGTGAAACGGTGAGTTTCAATGGAGGCAGTTTTTGGGTGTCGTTGCAGAGCAGCTCATTTGAGAAAATTACATTCTCTCAAGCACATTCATTTAGAAGAGAGTAGAACCTTCGAGCTAGGACAGAAGAAGAAGCTTACAACTCTGACCGGACCTGACCGAAGAAGGTGATCGGAGGGCTGTGGAGCGAAATGAAGGCTAGCCGTCTGATCAGAGAAGCTCAAAGCGTCAAAGCAAGGTTTCCCCTCTCCCATTTTTTTCCCCCTTTCTTTTCTCTTTTCGTTCTCCAACCCTATATAAAGGGGTTTTTCACCGTGTAAATAAGAGATAGAGAGAACACTTCTTCATATACTTTTGAGATACATTTTTAGACGCTCTGTAGATTAGGGTTTTTTCGCTTTTCTTAGAGTAGAGATATTAATTTCGCCGAGACGATCGCGAGGGTGACAGGCCGCGAGAGTTTTGGTGAATTCCGGTAGTGTGTAAAATTTCCTTTTCATGTTAATAAAGTTGAGTTTTGTGTTTTTGTTTTGTTCTTGTTTATGTCTCGATTTTTTTCTTTGTTTTTGATTTCTGTACTTGTTATGTGTTGAGAAAATGATTTGGATTCTGTAACTCTTTAATTCTTTGGTTCCTTTTGGAATTGAATGACTCCACAGTGAGCATACATTTTCGTGATGTCTTCTCGAGTCAGAGATGATTCAAATCGGTTTTGTGTTTCTATTCTGTTTCTTTGCACTGTTAGTTAGGTTTATTTTCTTGTTTTCTTGCATCATTTACCTATTGCAGTGATAATCTTTAGATTTTGTTATTAGACAGTAATAATGCTCATTAGTTTAAGATCATTTTAGTTGCATTTAAGTTCTCATAGTAGTTTCATTTCTATTTCTGTTTAGGTAGTTTAGAGTCTATTCTCATTGCTTTTCTTTTATTTCAAGTTACATTTTCTTTCTTCATTTTTTTTCTTTTATACAGATTTAATTCCTTCATTCTTTTCTCTTCAATTTCACTGTTCATATTTCATTTCCCCAACTTGCATTAGTAGTTAATTAGGTGTTAAATAAATACAAGATTTAATTCTACACTTTAGGCTTAATTTTAGCCGAGTCTTTGGATTGATACCTAGGTTGTACCTATACTTCATTAGTGGGGAAACTTAGTTTGTTCTGATTTTAGGCAACAAAAATCAGTTTAACATCCATCATTTAAGGTCTAAGTGGAACGAGTATTTGTCTTTGAAACCACTTTTCCATTCCCCTTGATTGAAGGCTAAAGAAACGAGGGTTCATGTTTAGGACTTCGTTTTCATTCTCACAAATTATGTCAATGTTTCAACCTTAACTCTATTGAAATAGTATCCATATGATTAATTTTCACATTTGAGATCTTGTCTGTTTTTAAGCTCAAAACTTTGTCATAATTTTGTCATTGAAGAAAAACTGTGTATTTAAATTATTCTTACATCAAATCCTAAGTGGGAGACTACTCAACATACTCGAAACAAATGTTTTGACCACCTTAAATTTGTTGATATAACATTATTATGATCCATTATTACATGCAAAATATTATTCGTTTTGAAACTTAAAGCTTTATTATGGTTTTACCTTAAATTGTTTTAAAAAATTGAAGAAGAAACATATATTTAAATTGTCATTGGTCTCAATTTCTAAGTAAGGGAGATTATTGAATACACCAAAACAAGTTCCCAAATTGAGGTTTAAAGGGAACAACAATTCATTTTTATGATCATTTTTCTATATTTCATTTTCATAAAAAAAAAAATGGTTGAGTGTCAATGTTTCTAAAATTTGTTGTGATATCATAGTTAGAATTAATTATTAAATTTAACATAATGTTTTTACGTAAGTATAAAATTTTGTTATGATTTTATCTTTTAAAAAATGTTTTAAAGAATTAAAAAAAAAAAAAAAAAAATATATATATATATATATATATATATATATATATATATATATAGTTAAATTATAGTTGGTATCGACTCCCACTGTTAGAATGTCTCAGTGTTAAAACTACTTATTGATAACTTAAATAGCTCTTTCTCTTTCTCTTTTATAAACCAGAGAGTCTAGCAGGTAAGATAAACAATTTAAAAAAAAATAAACAATGTTATTGTTTTATTTTTATTATTTGTCTGTAAAAGTGCAAAATATAAAGAGAAAAAAGTTTAGGGATGAAATTTGAGTGTTTTAGTAAGTTGAAAGTTATTGAAAATTTTGAATATAACTATTTATAAAAGGAGAGCGCAAACATACAATAATTTATTAAATATTTCTTAGTTACAGATTTTCTAAATTCAACTCAACAATATAATATTTTTAAAAATTAGAATGACTATTTACTATATTTCGTTTGTGAAATTTTATAAAAGGTCCTATATGTGTATATATACAATATTTCAATATTATATGTAAGAAATAGTCTTAAAAAAATTCTGAACAATTGATTAATTTTATCCAGTAATAGAGGGAACGTTGGATTCTTGCAATTTTCATAAGTTTTGATGACTGAAATGCAAAAAACAGAAACATGCAGTTGCAACCGGTCATAGAAGAGGAACCACCTTGTTTTTTCCGACTTGGGGTAACGCTTTTTGAAATCAGAAGAAACGTTGATGCTGTTGCGCAACCCTTCGTGGACAGCGTCGTTGCTATCAGCCACCACAAGAAGGCTCTACAACCACCGCTTTTCGACATCTTCGTTCATGGCGTCTTCAGGTTCGGTCTTCAAGGGTTATGGTAGTTTATGTTCAAGGTTCAATCATCAGTTAACTAATTCGCTTGTCACTTAACAATTTCATCGTGTAAAGCCTGAATATTGAAAGTGAAATTGTTGTGTCTCCGTTTTTAATCAGCTTTGGACTGCAGTTTGCTGGTTTTGTGTGGGAAATCATTGGCAGAGAATGAAACTGCCAAAGCTATAAAAACCAGTAACACTCTCAAGCTCCCCGAGAATGGAGAATACTCCCTCGTTTTGCATTCGCAGCTAGATAAAGCTGTTATGCAACGGTCTTTTAAAATTCACTCCTTTATGGATTCTCTTTCCACCAATCAATTTGGCAGGCTTCTCATCTGGTCCCCTCAGTTAACTTCAACACAAGATATCGTTTCACAGTATGTTTTGCAGTTTTAGTCTTTTGTTCGGTGTTTTAGACAATGCTTTGGCAGCAGAAAAATGACTTTTTTGTGCCTAAAATAATGTATTGTCATCTTCTTTTTTCGCATTTTCTAATCATCCATATTCATTTATAAGATCTTATTTTCCTAAATCTGGCACTCTTATTTTGTTCAGAAACTTTTGTGAGCTTCCCATTGGTTCAGTTTGTGTCGCTGATGTTCAGACCAAGGGACGAGGTTTGATATTTATACGACATTTAGTGTTGTTGTGTGTGATTATCTGTCATTTTCAACTTCTATTTTAGTTAAAGTCAAAGCTGCCCTGAGCGCTTAAATTCTCAGGTCGGTCTAAGAATGTCTGGGAATCTCCATCGGGTTGCCTTATGTTTTCTTTTACTTTGCAAATGGAGGATGGACGAGTCGTTCCTTTAGTTCAGTATGTGGTTTCCCTTGCTATGACAGAGGCAGTGAAGGATATCTGTTACAAAAATGTAAGTGGTTTACTTTCGAAGTACTGACTTGACACCTGGCTTGGTAGTGAATTTGATAAGGGAATGTTGTAGCAAGGTTAAAAAATTTAAGTAGGTTTATTTTATGTTTGCACAAACAAATGTGCAGATGTTATTGACTAAATAAACTGAAAATTTTAATTCTTTTGTGGAGACTGATGTCTGATGGTGCTTTATGTTATTCTGCCAATAACAGCAGTAAGAATATTGTTTACTTTGTTTTTGGCGGTATTCCAAATCAACGTGCATGATTTGTCACAATGTTAATAAGTTATCCAATTGTTTGGGATTGTGTGCGCACTTAGATACGTTTTATTCCAACACTTTCCATTCCAGGGGTTACCCAGCATAGATGTTAAAATCAAGTGGCCAAATGATCTTTACTTAAATGGCTCTAAAGTTGGAGGCATTCTTTGCACCTCGACATATAAATCAAAGAAGTTCAACGTTACTGCAGGTAATAAATTATTCTTGACTAGTATTGACCGATTGAACTTCTGTCTCGTGTACTTAAATAGTTGACTTTGTCTATTGAAATCCTTGTTTTCTGTGGAGAATTTGATTTTCCTTAATGTCATTTGGATAAGAGTAAAATGATTTTAAAGTTTAGGCTCATGAAGATGATCATAACAAATCTCATGTGTTCACAGGAATAGGCTTGAATGTTATTAATGAGAAGCCAACAACGTCCTTAAATACAGTTCTAAAAGAGTTGTCTACAGGAGCTTACCAATTTCAAAGAGAAGATATTCTAGCAGCCTTTTTTAACAAATTTGAGGAGTTTTATGGTTTATTTGTGAATCAAGGTACTGTACTAGTTAAGTGATTTGTTTGATATTGCTTTTTGGTTTCATATCTGAATTCTGAAATCTTACCTCAATTCTGGTTATTGTGTAAATATCTTGTGCCTGTTTTCATTCCTCTATCATGCTCTTTCTCTGAAAAACCCATGGATGAATAAAATAATTTAACCAATCTGAATCAACTTCTTGAATTATGCTTATCATCCTTGTGCACCGATCACAATTGATTATACTTCTAAGTCTATCCTTTCTATATCCAAATTAATCAAACTACAAGTCATATGAAGGGAAGAAAGTTGTGGAAATTTATATTGTGGGAAAGAAGAGAAACAGACAAGAGATAAGAGAGTAATATATAGGGAATAGGATGCAACAGTGATGCATATAGTTGAGAAGTATTTACTGGTTTACCATTGCAAGTTCAGAACTCCATGAGCCTCTATTTTTCTTTTGTCTGGGTATTTTTTCCCCTTTTTGAAGATTTACTGTTTCTTTTAATGGATTGTACCCATGTCATAGAGAGTTAGGCCCGACATGATCCTAAGGTTTCCTTAGGTTTGTTTTTCATTTACAAATGCATCAAATTCAATGCAACTTATGCCAACAAATTCATTATTGAAGTGACATCAAATTGACTCCTAGAAGAACAAAACTAATGAGAATGGATCCCTCCATCTTAGATTTTCATGTGACTGTCTCTGGGGAATGTCTATGAAAAGGGAGATAGACACTCACAAAACATTATCAGTGAAGATCTATTCTAAAACTAATGGCGCTTTTAATTGATGGACCACTTTAATGTTTCCTATGTGATCTCACATACATCCATGGAAGAGGAAATAGGCATTTATTAAAACAAAATAACATAACATAAAATAAAATAAACAATCAAAACAGTGTTTTTCAAGTTAAAATAATGCCATTACTCTGTTTCCTGACTTTAGACTTTTCTTCAACTTACCGTATTTTAAGCACCCATTATTCTACATTACCGAATATTTTGATTATTAGTTAGGTAATATTGAGATTGAAAAATCTTGTTAAATGCAGGATTTCAGACCCTAGAGGAGCTCTATATTAAGACATGGTTGCACAGGTGACTTAATTTAAAAATTCTCACCTGTAGTTTTGATTTATTTTATTTTATTGGCAAGGATTCATTGCAAGACTTAGGAGAGAATTGGCTGGTTTTCTGGTAATTGCCTTTGAATCTTTGTTTTGGCAATGCCTTGAGTTATAAGACAAATAATGTGATGCTTGTTGGCATGGATAAAGTTGAAGGACAAGTTAGGGTAGCAAAATTGAAATATGCTAACAACTAGGTGATTGAATTCCCTGTTTCTCTGCCTTTGGTAAAATCAGAGAATCATCGTTACTCTGTAGACTATTTTTTTGAAGAAAGTTTAGTGATTAGCCTAGCATTCAGTGAATTAGTTTCCATTGTGTGTGGCTGCATAATTAGCTTGAAGTCATTATCATTAATATTTATACATAGAAGAGTGCCCTTGACTCCACTGCACCTTAGCTTTAAATAGAAGTTCTGATGATTCTTTGTCCAAGAGTACTATTTTTTACACAATAGAATTATGAGGGACCTCTGCATTCATTCTATTTTCTGTATTTCGTCACTTTTGGTCTTCAATTCTTATTTGCTACCTGTCCCCCCAGAAAAAAAGAATAAAATGTCTCTATTTATCTTCTTTATCATCATTTTGTTCTTATCCTTTTGCTTTGAAATTCAAATCACTAGAACTAGCAATTAATCACCATCATAAACTTAAGTTTTACTTCCTTTTACTCTTGATACTTTGTGGAAATTTTAATCACGAAGGTGTGAATCGGAATCCGTAACATTGTCATAATACTGATCATAAAGCAGAAACACTCTTCTTGTTTGAGACGCAAGACATTACTGCATCAGCACTTGCCTAACACTTACATGACGTGTGTTTGACACTCCCAGGGTCCACTTGTATTATTTTCTTTCAGCTTGAACTCATCAGCCAACACATACCTCGGGATGGAAACTTTGAGAACATTAGTATTGTAAGAAAATAAAATATTTATACTTTTTGAAAAGAAAATCAGAAAAGTCGACATAGAATGTAAAATATATAAAAAAATCTCTCTCGCTATGTTTTTGTGATGGAAATTATGTAGGAAGTTTAATATAATACACAAATCTTGATTACCATTTTTAGATTATATATCTGTATGTCTTGGTGTCTTGTAATTTTTAACTTTAATTGTGTTGAAATGTCTTTATCTATCTTGAGCCTGGTGTCCGTGTTAAAGTTTGTGCTTTAGATAACACTAACAGCTAAACTCATTTATTCATTTTAGTTAGCAGCTGAAATGAAGTGTTAAACATATTGTAGTATTCATCATTTTGTTTAAGCTTTTAATTGGAAAAACAAAACCTTTTTATGCATTAATGTGGGACGGTTTATTGGTGTGCAGTCATTTATATATTCAAAAATGTTGTGTGCAGTGGACAGAGAGTTGTTGTACAAGAAAAGAATGGGGATAAAGTGATCGAGCACGTCGTAACTATTCAGGTTTGGCAGATGAAAACTATTCTTCCTGAACTACCGTTCTTAGAGAACACTTAAAATTTGTACCTTGAGAATGAATAATTTATGGATTAATTATTTAGTGGAAAGGGTTAGTAATTTTCAGAAACGAAATTGTTAGATCAAGTGGAAGATTGTAATATATGAAAATTATCTGTCAACCATTTCCAATGGTAATTTTGATGGCTTAACTCAGTTGTCATATTGCTGTAAAGTAATTTTTCTATTATTGTTTGCGTAGGGTTTGACATCATCTGGATATTTATTAGCTGTCGGTGATGACAATCAAATGTGTGAGCTCCACCCTGATGGTAATAGGTAATGGAACAAAATACCATTTTCTTCTATCTGCATGATTAAGTTGTGACCAAAACGCTTCTGGAAAAAAAAATCGACAGTTTAGGCCTTTGAGCTTTTGAAATTTGAAGCACACATGTAGTTATCAAAAACAGTGATAAATTTCACCGGGCACATTTATTAATGAAATTGACGTTTCAAATTACGTGATTGCATGACTTGATATCATTACCAATTGAAATTGAAAATTGTTTTCTACTGTGTTTCAGCTTTGACTTTTTCAAAGGACTAGTCAGAAGAAAACTCGACTGAACAAGATTCCTTGACACATTTCACAAGAGGCTACAACTTTGTATATATTATTACGAAGATTTGTCTTTAGAGCTAAGAATTTTCCAATAAACCATATTTGTTTAATGTATGGTGTCTTCAGAACTTCAGAACTTTTGTACCCTATTTGTATTTGTGATTTTCCGTCAAACTTGTGATGCGCTTTCCTTGTCCGGTCAAACTAGATCTTTCTATACATCATGGCACGTAAAAAAATATCATGCAGTTGCAACCAAAATAGTAACTTTTTTTTCTTCTCTTAATAGGGCCTAGTTCATGATTGCTTTAGTCAATCATTTGTAAGGAGTATGGTGGTCCTTCATCGCCAGCTATGAAATGATTTGAAAAAGGAAAAAGAAAAACCGTTTCTATGATTCATACTTGTGCTCAATAATCGCCTTTGCTTCCAAATAAAGTGTGCTTGAATTAGATGCTTAATCAGATGTGTTGACTGTCTGTCTTTCAAAAATCGGTCGCTTTTTGAAATTGGACTCATTCGCCATAATGCCAAATCTATTTTCCTTATAAAAACATGCAGTACTTTTCCCACTGCCTTTATACAGTAATGGTTACCCATTTATGATGGCGTTTATTTCTCACATACGGGTATCATGTAACCACATAGTACTTGTCGTCATAGTTGAGAATTTGCATTTATGTTGTGCTGGTGATCCATAATGGTCCATTTTCCATCATATTCAGCATGTTTTTTTGGTGGGGTGTTTGGTGGGCTTGTTCGAAGAAAGAACTTTATAGTGGCACGTTCAATGGTTGAGGTGTACTTGGTCTTTCTCTTTCGGGATCGGTGGCATTATTTGCTTGTATTTCTGTAAGTGAACGAAAGACACCACACCATCCGCAACACATGGACAAACTTCCTTACTTTCTACAAAATGCCTTGGCGATATGAGAGTTAAGGCCATAAAGCATGAAGCATGTCCATGCAACTCCCAATGTCTCAATCACAGTGAGAAATCATTGGAGGTTGAGTCATTCTCAGAGGGAAGCAAAAGGACATGTGAGAGAAGCTACCAGTCGCAATTTTCGTCTCTTGGTCATTGCTGAAAGGCTAGTGACAACTTCCAGCCTTTTCTTTGTTCTCCTTTTCAAAACTCAATCTGCCACTATATATCAATGAGTACCAAAGCTGCTGCCTTCTTCCAACGTGGCTTATTTAACATTTACGTGAATCATGGACCAAAAAAGCACGTTTAGGTGAATCGGGGTGTTGGTCTCTACGATGCCATTGCTAGCATCTATTACATGTCACCACTTCTCGAGCCCCATGGAATTCTTTTAGCACCGGTTAAGGAAAATTAGTTGCTAATTTGGTATATGTCACGATCACACATCCATATGTAATATACTAACCTTCAAACTTGTAATAAAAATATTAGTATTAACAGTGCAGACGCTCCTAATTTTAGACTAGCTGTCCCGGGAATAAGGTTTTTGGCGCAATTCCAAAGGTTTGGAATTGAAATCTTTTCACCAGAGCTTGTGGAAAATGGAGATTCTGAACATGTAAAAGAATATGTGTGTACATACGTGGACAAAAGAAAGTCTATAGGTGAATATGGTATTGTGCTTTCCAGGTTGGTTTGATTTTCGAATAATTAGTCTAGATCCACACCTATGCTATGGAATGTGGATTGTGTCTTCGGCAATCATTATATGAATGAAAATGGTTAAACAGTTCACAAAGTGAAAGTCGCACAATTGAAAATTGCCCCCTATACGGTTTTTTACCTTCTTGACATAATCATACCATATTTATCCAACCTTTTTATATCTCTTCACAACTTTCTCTGTGACAGATGTAGTTGTCAATTAAATTTCAAGTAAAGAAGTGTGTGCGTTTTTAGTTCTAAAAAATATGGCAATGGTAAGCTTGAATTTAGATTTCCAAGAAAAAAAAACCGTTAATTCTAGTCTTTTTAAATTTTATCAGACTCGAATCTAGTAACTTCGTAAACCAATGTTCTAAATATGTAAAGCGTTTAATACCAGACATTATTTCGAACAAGATTACTGTCGAAAAATAATACCTTGAATGAAAAAATAATTATAATATAAAATTTATACTCACTTATATATTAAAAATTTATTTTATTTTTAGTTGAATAATATGTTTTTTTCTAATATATCTCTTTTATGTCAATAGCTCTGATATTATAATAAAAAATAAATTTTACATTTCACAAAATCAATTTATAAATTAAAATTTTTAACTATTTATATACAGAAAACTCATCTTATCTAAATGATATCTACCACAAATATTGTACAGAAAAAGTATCAGGCTTATTTGAGTCTTTTATACATTTATTCAGTTCAAATTTAAGATCAGAAAATCAATTTTGCTGGTCAGTCGGTACAGTTTGACTAACCAAGCCGTGACTAAATGTATTTACATCACCACCTACGAACTGAAATTATTTTAAAACTGAAGTGAGAAATTTGAAATGACTGGGAAGGTTAGAGAATAATAGAAAGCAGGAATTTGACAGTGAAGAAGGAGAATTGGTGGCACTAATGGATGAAAGGAAGTTGAATAAAGTGAAAGGGGGAGAGAAGCATGAGAAGAGGGAAAGGGATATGGGTTGAGATCACAGGCAGGGCCTGCAGCATGTAAGTAAATTCATGAATCATAATTGCATATGATTAATGGAAAAAGAGACGAAAAGAAGATTAGTCGTAGATCCTTTGCATGATCACATGGGGAAGCAGGCTTGGTGGGCCAAACCACTTGTGACTTCAACAGAGAAAAGTATATCCTAACAATCCAACTATGACGCCAAATAAGACACTACTCAACTTATTATATATTACTATAATCCAATTCTTAGCCACGCTTTAACTTTATTAAGATCTTAAGCATGGTTCAACACATGTCTAATCTTACGTAAAAAAAATGCATATATTCTACATCACCCACGATATGATCTTGCCGTTATCGAAGTAGATATGATTAACTGAATCATTGAAGACAAGTAATAGAATTGGGATAAGGCAAAGAGGGCTAAAAGAACAGTAGACGAAAAGTGATACAAAGTATATTGAAAATCGTAAGCTTGAGATGTGGCATAGACATGCTCCCAAGTAAGCAACGACGATGGAATATTACTAATGAAAAGTGGGTCCAAGGAGTGATACAAAATTGAATTCAAATGTGCAGTTATATTTGGTAGACGAAGTGTGACAGGCTTTTGCACATTACACCATTTTGGACCATTTCGTCACATGAAACTATTGTTTCTGGATGCTTGTGAGGGACATTCTCAGATCACACAAACCCACTCTGCATAACGTGTCTTTTTTCACACCAATACTTATTTATTTCCTCATACCATTGGTAAAATTGCTGATGAATATCACATGCATTTTTTCTTCTCACCCAAATATTCACCCTTCCTACCTTTATGCCCACGTTTATGGCTTTTAATTATGAAAAAAGTCTTAAGTATAGCCCCTGATTTGGGGTGTGTGGTGGAAAGAAAAGAAAATAAATAATATAAATAAAATATGAACTCTGTTTTCTGTACTAATCATGCATGACATTGCTTGGTAGAGACGGAAGAATCAAGGAAAAGAAAAAGTAATATAGAAACCAAAATAACAAAATTAAAGTAAAAAATAACTAAAAGGAATCTCTCGCAACTAAAAAGATATTTAACACTCGATTATATAAACTATACATTGTTTATTTCAAAACTATTGGATAGCGTGGTATCCGAATAACTTAGTCAAACTTGACTGATTTTTTTCTCAGTATGATAAGGAATATGTGAAGAATTATTCTAAATCCACATAATTTCCGTCACTGGAATTGACAAAGGCTGCTGCTACGGCTGCGGCTGTATCTTTTTTCTGTGTGAAATTTCCCCACTTTGATGAATAATACAACATGTTTTCATTTCCTCCAATTTATTTTCATTCTTGACTAAACAAGGCACAAACTTTTAAAGATTTCATGGATATTTAGTTATGCTTGCTTCCATCATAATGTTCAAATGAACTTTAAATAAATAAAAAAATAAAATAGTTTATTTTGTAATTATGGTATGATGGTTTTTTATTGTTTGACTGGGAATGAAACGATGAGTGTGAAAGGTACAGGAGAAGAAGAAAGAAGGGAAATAAGGTAAGTTGAGGGTAGGTGAAGTAGGTGGCATGGGGTACAAAATGAAATCTGCAATGAACACAACACAAAAACTGAGGACGACACTGTTTCAATCTTCATGGATATGGCCCTTCTTCCTTTTTCTCCTTTGCTTTATGTCTTCTGAACACAACATCGTACGCAGCTCTCCTGCACCACCCACCAAACACCATTGTTCTTGTCCTACTCTCTCTCACAACCCCGAATCATAAAATATAACGCACAACAGAACAAACCCAAACGTACGTCTATGCACCTTAACCTCTTTTTCGTTTTACTGTTTTAACTTCTTCACCCTTTCACTTTATAACATCACATGTAATCATTCTCCCACAAATATTTTATCATTTTATCTACTTTCGATTCTAATTAAAACGGAAATTCTTTTGAGCGATAAAATATATGAACGATTCTTGTTACGTCTTTAGGTAGAAGTCGGTGAAGTGAAACCATGATAATTAAAGATTTGAATTTCGTTACAATGATTAGTGATAATGACAATAACAGTGTCCTTTGTGACTGGTTTAATTGAAATCAGTGGGGTTTAAAATTCAATATAATATTATTAGATGGTGAAAGTTCAAAAATGAGTAGCAGCTTTAAGTAGTAAAAGCATGAATAATCTTTAATGACTTGTTAAACAGATACAGTACAGACACTCTGGAGAATGACATGAGACTGCCACGTGTCATCATATCATGAATGCAGTGCATTGACTGAGCCTTTGGTCAATGTCTTCCATAAAGAAAGCGACTTGTCTGTGATCCTCTGCGCCAGGGTACACCTTAAAGCATATTTCTCTCTAACCTTTATCTTTTTGTGTTTGCATTTCTCTTTCTAGATCTTCGTACACTCATGCTATTACAAAAATTAATGGCTTCTTAAACGTTATTCCTCTGAACTCTTAATTTAAGATAAATTAATTAATAATATATTATAATTAAAAGGTTAAAGATACCGGTTTAATACCATCAAAAAGTTTTATGCATAATTCATCTGCCCAACATTTAAAATGGCCGAATACATAATGCATTGTTTAAAAAAAAAAATAAGAGACTCTTGCCACCAATAAGATCTCCATCCATTTAATTAGGGTATTTTGACTATAATTGTGAGGAGAAGTGCATTTATATGTTAGTTCAACACCATTATCTCATGAAATTATTCTTAAAAAACTATCACATCTCATTCAATTAAATTTGTCAAATTCATAAGG